GTACAAAGTTGAGAGCAATTGTGGCCATTCGTCAGGGTAGTCGGTAGCGGCAATTTGTGATATCACGTAGGAAGCACCGGAGCGTAATTTGGATTCAGTAGAAGTAGTTGCAAGTTTGAGCATATCGTTGCGAATAGCTTCCTTGAGGTTCTGGTCAGTAGGAGGGCCCACGAACGAGTCAAACGCAAGCGACCAGTACATGGGAACAATTCTTCGTATGTGCAAAAGACACAGCTGTCTTATATCCACGGGAATCGAATTATTTTTGGCCAGTTCCACCAACTGGTACAAAGCACCATTTGGATCTTCTGCTACCGCATGCTTAAAGTTGACCTCCGCTTGGATTCTGGTGGTGTTGTCGGCGCTTGTTTGGTTTACGACAAGCTCGAGAATGTTCATGGCGTTGAGTGTAGTGGGATGATTGTGATGAGAATGAAGATGAGTTCTGAGATCGCGGCGCGTGAAAATTAGCGCGCTAGATGATGGTGCGACAATGAGAGCTAGGGAAAGTCGCACCGAGACTTAGCGAGAGCTAGCGTGGTTGGGAGGTGCGAAGTTGCGCCAAAATTCCGTAGTGTGTCACACCGCGCACACCGCGCGACACTGAGTTGCGAGTGCGATTGGTGGCGGTTCTTTTCAACTACAACTCAATCATGCCCCTTTATCCAGCACTCGAAGAGATCAAAGACTCTCTCCTGGCAGAGCAGCTAGCTATTCTCAAGCGCCAGTTGGACTCGGAACAGCCAAATGTCAGTCCTCAGACTCGATTCAACTACGGATGGGGACTCGTGAAATCTCCAGATCGCAAGCTCCAGCAGCACGGACTCGAGCAATTGGCCCAAGTTTACAGAGAAGAGAACTCCATGCACAGAGAAGCACTCTACTACTTGGCGGTGGGGTCTTATAAGGTGGGAGAGTACAGTAATGCTCGTCGCTACTGCGATGCGTTGCTCAAATCAGAACCAGATAATAGCCAGGCTCGAGCTCTCAAGGAAATGGTGGACGACAAGGTTACCCAGGACGGCTTGATAGGCTTGGGTGTGGCTGGTGGTTTGCTTGCGGTGGGCGTAGGAGTGATAAGTGCATTGGCACGGCGGAAAAGAAAGTGAGAGAAGGAGAGAGAAAGAACAGAATGGGAGTGAAGAGAGAAAGAGAGTTGAGAAAGAGAGAGAAAGAGAAGAAGAGAGAGAAAGAGAAGAAGAGAGAGAAAGAGAAGAAGAGAGAGAAAGAGAAGAAGAGAGAGAAAGAGAAGAAGAGAGAGAAAGTGAAGGAAAGAGAGAACGCAACCTAAAGGATGAAGTTGAACTTTTAGTGACTCCACTCAATTTTCCTCCTCCACACTGTAGGTCGTCCGGTACTATCGCTCAGTGTGCAAGCCCTACTCAACATCTACAGTACATAAGCTTTAGCCCAGCTTTATTGTTTTGGCTTATTAATTTATTGCATCTTTATCCAACTTTTGCAGCTTATTTTCTGTAGCATTTATTCGCTTCGCATGTTTCCTGATAAAGTATCGCAGGCGGTCCTTTCCCACTATGACAAACTTCCACCGTCAGCAAAGCCAGGGATTCGTTCAAATGGAGTTCGAGAATGGACAGTGCTAGCAGGGGTTGTGGCGGTAGTCGATAGCTCCATAGTTCCATTGACCATTGCAACTGGAGTCAAAGCGATGCCTGACGAAATCAGAAAATATTCAAAAGGGAAAATAGTACACGATATGCATGCTGAGATATTGGCGTTACGGCTCTTTAACTTGTTCTTGCTTGAAGAGTGCCAAAAGCTTATAGAAGGCAAGTCAGAATTTGTGGAGAAAATCGGCGAGAAATTCAAACTTCGAGATGAGATCAAGTTGGTGCTTTATGTCAGCGAACCGCCGTGTGGCGATGCCTCTTTGGCATATTCTGCTAAAGGCGAAGAAGGCTGGGAACAGGAACCACAGAAAAAACGCCAAAAAGTTCTTCGTGGTAGAAGTTTTTATGGCCGGATTGGCGAGGTGAGAACCAAGCCTGGAAGAAGTGATAGTTTAATTACTCTAAGCAAATCTTGTTCCGACAAGTTGTGTGCCAAGCAAGAACTTGGGCTAACGAATGCATTGACAGCACCATTATTTCCGCAAAATTGTTTTTTGGATAGCATTATTGTTGCTGATGGACTAAAGAGTGATTTTGACAGGTGCTTTGGAAGAATTGAAACGAACCATCAGATCAAGCTCCAATTTAGCTCGGTGAAATTCCAGAGTGGGAAGCCTCTGACGGAAGATTTTGAAGAGGTAAAGAAGTATTCGCCGTCGCCATTATCGGCGTTGAAAATTGTTCCTTCTGGCACTTTTCAGGTGCTCAACAACGGAGTGAAAAATGGCAGTTTTGTGAAGGGAAAACCGCCAAAAAAAGGCGGAGAGAGCATTATAAGCAATTGGAATATGGCACAAACTGCAAAAGAGATTCACAAAGATTCCGCTAGTTTGAAAGTGGGTCTCACTTACCACGATTACAAAACCAGTTTTGAACAGCGACAACGACTCAAATTGAAAACCCGCAGCCAGCTCCAAACCTGGATACCTACCCTGGTCGATGACTTTACCTTGTAATATCTATGTCTACTATGGAACTGAGTCCTCATAAATGTATCCAGTGGCTAATCAGAGTCCGATGCGGACCCCGACTCCTCATCTTGAGCCAACTGCTCCGCCTCCGTCACCTCCATCGAAATCGCATACTCGGCACCCTCCAACAAATTACGCAACTTCTGGTTATCCGTCACCAATTGTATGGGCTTCAAGCCATGACTATTCACTATGCGAGGATCAGCTCCAGCATCCAACAAGTTGTCGACCACAAAAGTTCCATGTTCCGGCTCGTCGGCACAGTACTTGACCGCCAAATGCAACGGGGTATCACCCTCTCGGTTCAAAGGATCCACTTCAACACCTTCAATGTCAAGTATGATATCTATCAGTTCCCAGTGGCCCATTCGACATGCTAAATGCAACGGCGAATTGTTCGTAATGGTTTCTTTTGTGGTATTGATCAAGTGTGCCAACTTTTGCGAGTCGTTGTTGAGTTCGGCTTTGATCTGGAGTAAAAGTTCGGTGTTGTTTCGACGTGCACATTCGAGGATCTGCTCGGAATACGAAGCCCCTTCTTCTTCCATAGCAATGTATGATTTGTGATGTGGATTCTAAATAGTAAGCACCAACGAAAAGCACCAAAAAAACTGAAAGTCCAAGGGAAATTGATGTACAAAGACTAGTACACTTGTTCAGATCACAGAATCAGTTGAGACTTTAAAGAGGTCGCATCCGTGCACCCACAAATGATCCTGCAGAATGGCACTATTTCTATGTTGCATTTCCTCGACCAAAACGCATTCTTTTTGCTTCAGAGAAACATGGCATACCGCCACACTACTAATCTTTCCACTCGATCACTTTCAGCTTATTTGGCCAACATTTTCCCCAAAATCACCATCCCTAATTCTCCTGAGGTAAGACACATCAGTGCACCAACTCTCAACTGCGCACTTTGCATCGATATCTCGATCTTGATAGCAAACGATCATGGTCAAGCCCATTATTGCCCCATCGATTCTTGCGTCTGATTTCGCCCATTTGGGGTGCAATTGTCATCGTATGTACGATAATGGGGCCGACTGGCTTCACATTGATGTAATGGATGGCCATTTTGTGCCCAACATTTCCATGGGTCCTCCAATTATCACCAGTTTAAGAAACGAGATTCCACGTAGCGATACAAAAGCAAGCTTTTTTGATTGTCACATGATGGTTTCGGAGCCGGAAAAGTGGGTTCCGGAAGTAGCAAAGGCTGGGGGTGACCAGTACACATTCCACTACGAATCGACAAACGATCCGGTAGCTTTGATCAAGTTGATCAAGTCTCATGGCATGAAGGCAGCTTGTGCTGTGAAGCCCGGAACGCCTGTAGATGTGTTGTATCCATTGGCAGAGCAGTTGGACATGGCATTGGTGATGACTGTGGAACCTGGATTTGGAGGACAGAAATTTATGCCAGAGATGATGCCCAAAGTGGAAGCATTGAGGAAGAAGTTTCCTCAATTGAACATCCAGGTTGATGGTGGGTTGGGTAAGGACACTATTGGAGCAGCTGCTGATGCCGGAGCCAACGTTATTGTAGCTGGAACTGCGGTATTCAAGGCGAGCGATCCACTGGAAATGATTCAAATATTGAGAGATGCAGTGACAAAGAATTTGGAGGCCAGGGGACTCCTTGAGAAATAGCATGGGTTACTGTAGTGCATTAAAATTACGAATTTAATGGGACTGTAGAGTCTTTAGACATGTCTTTTTGGTCTTCTTCATTTCTCTTCTTCATTGAACTAAAATGCTTGTACTCCCAAAGTAGTACCTTCGCCCACGGCAGGTGCAAGCCCAGCACTGCTATCAGCCTTCTTGGCACGAATCAACTCCCACAATGAGTCCTTCACTCTTTGTATTTGTGTTTCTGTTGCAACCTCGTTATCCATGTCCATATCGGGCGCGGTTCCATTTCTCTGCTGAACATATTTTTGGTTTCTAGCAATCTTTTTGGCTCTTTTCTTCGAGAGCGTACGGTTGGTAACTACAGCGGTGTCAGGAGAGCTTCCAGTGTACAAAGCAATGGCTTTCGAATCTGTTGGACGAGGAGCGGTTTTTGTTTCTGTGTTGTATCTTGAGGTGGATGAGCGAGTAGCAACCACAGATTTGGATCTGGCGGCCCTTCTTTTGCCTAGAGACATAGCATGGCTCTTACTTTGGATCTTTTTGGACGGTTTGTTTATGGAGTTTCTAGATGGCATTGTGGATCAGAATAAAAATTTCGCAGTGCGATGCGAGATGAGGAGATGAGATGAGATAAGGAAATGAGTGAGGGAATGAAATGAAGAGGAAAGAAAAAAAAGTATAACAGATGAAGGGAAGAGTATTTAATGGCTTTCTTCACACCCTGTCCTTGGACTGTCGACTTGAAAAAAATTGCAAAAAGAAATCTCCCGGGGGTGAGTCGAACACCCGATCTCAAGATTACTAGAAGTTACAGTCTCGCGCCTTAGCCAGCTTGGCCACCGAGAGGATTTCTGAGTGAGCTTTCGGGTTTGGGAACTATAAGGTGCAAGCAACATAAAAAAGAGCTCACAAAAGACCGATACTCACCTACTATCAAATCTTTAAATGAACACTTCCAATTGAACCAAGAACTACTTCCCTTCATTTTCTCGTTATCCTCTTATTGCCGCACAAGCGTACGGCATAGATAAGACTGGTGTCTGGATGTCGCAAACCACACCGTCGCGCCACACAACTACTCCTATCCTTTTCAACTATTCAATTGTCATGGAAAAACAATATTCTGAACCCTATGTGGTCCAGAGACCCAGGAAGAAGTTGTGGGCTCATGCCGTAGGAGCCGGATGCTTGTTGATGATGTATTTTTATGGAAACTGGTCTTTTGATTATTTCAACTTTGGACTCACGACTGCAAATGATTCTTTTGATTACAAAAGAACATTTTTGAATGCGTTGACCACCAATCTCGCAGGCAATTGGTCAGAGAAATACACGTCGGAGCCTCATTTGGCCGGGACCAACTATGGATTTGTTGATTGGACCAAGGATAAATTTGAAGAATATGGACTCAAAGCCACAGTGGACACCTACGATATTTACGTCAGTTACCCTCACGAGCACTCATTGAAGCTTTTGAGAGCTAAGGATGACAAATTGTTGTACGAAGCTCCATTAAAGGAAGACGAAATCAAAAAGGACAAGACTTCTGTGGGCGGTAAGGATGCTGGAGTTATCCCCACATTTTTGGGTTATGCTGCCAACGGCAATGTCACTGCTGAGTACGTTTACGTAAACTACGGAACCAAGCAAGATTTTGAAACTTTGGAGAAATTGGGTGTTAGCGTCGCTGGTAAAATTGCCGTTGCTAGATATGGCTCGATTTTCCGTGGACTCAAGGTCAAGTTTGCTCAGGATGCTGGTGCTGTAGGAGTGTTGTTATACACCGATCCAGGAGATGATGCTGGAATCACTCCTGCAAACGGTTACAAGCAATATCCAGAGGGCCCTGCTAGGCATGAGAGTTCGGTTCAACGTGGAAGTGTCCAGTTTTTAGGTGCCCCAGGTGCCACTCCAGGTGACCCTACCACTCCAGGATATGCTTCAGTACCTGGAGCTGAACGTAAAGACCCCCACAACTCTATTGGCAAGATTCCAGTTCTTCCCATTTCTTACCGTGAAGTTACTCCAATTTTGAAGCTGTTGAACGGCCACGGGGAAAAGGCTCCTAAGGAATGGAAGGGAGAACTTGAGGGATTCGACTACTACACTGGTCCAAACAAGAATGTAACCTTGAACTTGTACAATGATCAAGTTTTCAAGGTGCAACCTTTGCACAATGTGTACGGAGAAATCGAAGGAGAGAAAAAAGACGAGGTAATTATTATTGGTAACCACCGTGATGCCTGGATTAAGGGCGGAGCAGGAGATCCTAACTCTGGTAGTGCCGTTCTTATTGAACTTGCCAGAGCTTTTGGTCAATTGAAGGCTGCTGGATTCAAGTTCAAGCGTACGATTGTGTTGCAAAGTTACGATGGAGAGGAATACGGACTTCTTGGCTCTACCGAGTATGGAGAGAACTACGCCCACGATTTGACACGTAAGGTGGTCTCTTACATCAACTTGGATTCTGCTGTGACGGGCAAGAATTTGCACTTGGGAGCCTCGCCTGTTCTCAATCAGGTATTACGTAGTGTTGCAAAGGAACTTGATTACCCTGAAAAGAAGGTTGGCTCATTATACGACCACTTTGTCGATGTTAGTGGAGACAAGATCCACACTCTTGGTTCAGGATCTGACTACACTGTATTCTTGGAGCACCTTGGAATCCCATCTGTTGACTTGGGATTCGGCGCTGGCAAGGGAGACGCGGTGTACCAGTATCACTCGAACTACGATTCTTACTACTGGATGACACACTTTGGTGATCCTGGATTCGTGTACCACAACTTGGCTGCGAAGTACGTGGGATTGTTGGCTTTGCAATTGTCCGAACATGAAATTATTGATTTCGGAACCAATGATTATGCCAACGCTTTAGTTGACTATTTCAGTGTCACTGAGAAATTGATTCCAAAGAAATGGTTGAAGGAAGAAGTTTCAAAGGGTGAAGGGTGGAATGAGTTTTTGCGGTGGGACATGGCTGACCTTGGTGCCAGCAAGGAACTTGCCATTGCTTACTCGCCACGAAACCTTTATCCATTCCCCGAATTATTTGGAGCAAAGCAATGTAAGCACAACAGACTCCATCAAATGATTGACTTGGCTCACCACAAGGAATTGAAATTGGAAGACATCGTCAAGCTTACCAAGACTGATCTCGAGAGATTGCAGAATGCAACCCAAATTCTCGATTCCGAAAGTCATGAAATCCAAGTCAAATTCGACAATCGTGATGCACTCAATTTCTGGCAACGGATCAAGCTTCATTTCCAGATCAAGCATCACAATGCGTTGTTGCAATACTTCGAAAGAAACTTCTTACACCACAAGGGGTTACACGAGAGGTCGTGGTTTAAGCATATTGTATTTGCTAGTGGACGTTACACTGGGTATGCGGGTCAAGATTTGCCGGGATTACGTGAAGCACTTGAAGACGAGGACTTTGACCGTTTTGTACACTGGTTAGGAATCTTTTCCAAGGCACTCAGAAGAGTGTCTGCACACGTAGGTTGATGGTAGGAATATATGCTGATTGATTTTGAACATGTAAAATGGTTTATATGGATCGCTAAAACGTTTGCTCGAACGTGCATCGTACCGCTCAACGTCGCAGAGTATGCACGTTGGGATGCGGCTCATGCAAGATATTAGCCCAATTTGGCAAAGTAATTGAACAATTAAAAAGGACAATGGAAACAATGATTTCGGTATACAATCGCAGGCCACCCCGGTTTGGAAGCCGTTGGGGCATGTGGCACTGTGGCGAACCATCCAAAGTTTAGCAAAGTCACTTCAAGACCAAAGAAAAAACTCCGGTCTTCGAAACAGTGCGGCGCGAGCGGCTGTGAAAATGTGGTAGTTTTGATGCTTCACATCTATAAAAACCATCCCTAAGCCAACACACTCGGCGATTAAAAGTATCAACTGCATGCGTGGGTATGTACTATGGTTGGCGAAAGCTGGCTAAACCAAAAGGGTAAAAACTCCTATAGAACAATGCAGGGTCAACAAGTGCGAAAATAATTAGCAGCGGCTCCCAACCGGTGCATAATGGAAACTATTGATCGATGGCGGTGTCTGGAGAATGCATATCATGTAAACGTACTAACAATAGCGACCGACGCTCGTGATAAGAAAACCAGGGTGAACATTTTCCTAATTTTATTGACTTCGGGATCATAAGGCGATTATTTTTTAACGATTAAACTACTACAAAAACTTCGAGTATCCAACTTCCAACTACTATGTATACTCCTGAACCGGCGCGTCTGCGGTCGTCGCTTCTTCGTCGTTTGAGTAGCTCAGTTTCCGGCTTGACCAAAAAACACCAAACGATAAAACCTGGTACTTCCTCAGGAAAACTGCCCATGTTCATCACGGCGATTTCTCCCGCTAATCTGAACGGGAGCCAGACGGAAAAGGAAGAGATCAAAGACTCGACGACTCCTAGATTCACGGGACATCTTCGTACTCCTCCATCTTCTGTGAAGAAAAGAGACTCGAGATCTCCAACCCAGTTGAAGTCTTATAGTCAAGACCAAATTTGTGCAATTTGTGAAGAGCCATTGGCATCGAGTTTGCGAGGTGAAAAGGAAATCTTGCTTGCGTGCAACCATCCTTGCCATAAAATATGTATGCTGGTGATATTATCTCTGGGAAATCGACTTTCCAGTAGTCTTCCTGATTTTTTGGATCCTTCGGTCGCATGTTGCAAAGAGTGTGGAGCACCTGCTCGTTGTGCTGATGCCAATGAAACGTCGCAGATGCTCGAGGAGATTGCTATGAAGGGTATGATGTCGCCAGTGGAAGGAAAAATCCCATTTACCCCAGATGGTCAGATGATACCTGATCCAGTGGTTCATCCACCGGTTTCTGTCAGACCCACCTCTGAAATTTACATGAAAAAGTCCAGTGCGGTTTCGCCAGTAGTGGACTTTGAAGATGTCACTACACCGCAAATAACAAGTTTCGCCGACACAGATACGGTTGTTTTAGGTGAAATTCACAAAAAGGACATCGAGATCAATTTTAAGATAAAAGCTCCCAAAACCCACTCGGTTGCAAATGTTGCACAGGACCACCTACAAAAGAAGGAAGTGATGGCAGAAATCATTTCCAAGTTGACAAACTTGAAAAACTTTGACCAGGTTGCTACAAACTTGAGCACACTTATTTTGTTTGATTTTTTGAACATTAGTGTCACCGGTAGCGAGTGGGACACTCTTTGTTGCTTTCTCTTTGACGATCGGTTATTACTTGTGGATTTCTCCAAAAACGAAATAGTGGGCCAACTACTGATCCACGATGATGTGGCTAGCATTAACAAGCGTGAAAATGGTATTACTCTCAATCTCACCCAGCAAGGGTTCCCCGAGTTGCAAATGTGCCATTCGCACCCATTGATATGCTTAAAGTGGTACACTTATTTTTGCCGGGTTCTTGCCCTGGTATCCACATCTATCGTTCCCAGCGTTCCCTTTAACCAGCTCACCACCAATGGCTGGTACGTCCTCGAAGACTCGTTTTCTTTGATTCCTGAAAATGCCATTAAAGTTAGAACCGCTACCGAGCATGATTGCCAATTGACAGAGAATTTGCTTTTGGAAGCGCTTCCTCGGCCAGAAAACTTGCCCATAAACCTCGTATTGACGATTCCTTTGGTCAACACCTCAGCCATGGATAACCAAACCTATAGAACAACCCTCATGAAACTTGTGTTCAATGTCAAATCTCGTCTTCGTGCTTTTGACAAATTGGCACTCATTTTCATCGGCATCGATGCCAGCGGCCGGGCTTGTCGTAAGGGATCTTTTATAGGCTGTGCCGAGCCAAAGTGGGACGGCTGG